ATTGTATGTGTGTCCTATGTATTACAAATGTCTAAGTGTGTGTACCAGCATGTGCGTGGAAGTCAGAGGACAACTTTATGAAGCCAGTTCTCTTCTACTTCTATATGGGTTCCAGAGATGGAACTCAGGTCACTAGTCTTGTGTGACAAACACCTCTATCAGCTGAGCCATTTCATCAGTCCCTTTTGCCTTTTTTTTTTTTTTAAACTTTTAAAAAATTTTATGTGCTCCGAAGGGCTTTGGTGGTACATGGCCTGTGGTTGGTGGAGCACACCTTTAATCCCAGCACTCAGGAGATAGAGGCAGTCTGATCCCTGTGAGTTTGAGGTCAGCCTGGTCTATAGAATGAGTTCCAGGACAACCTCCAAAGCAATACAGAGAAACTCTGTCTCAAAAGACAAAACAAACGAACAAAAATTTCATGTGCATTGGTGTTTTGCCTGCATATATGTCTATGTGAGAGTGTCAGGTCTGCTGGAACTGGCGTGATAGACAGTTGTGAGCTGCCATGTGGATACTGGGAATTGAACCCAAGTCCTCTGGAAGAACAATCAGTGCTCTTAACTGAGCCATCTCTCCAGCTCCACTTTTTGCTTTTTTAATCTTCACCTTATATACTTTATGTATTGAAATTTTTCTTGAGGGAAACTGTTTTGGTAAATGTTCCTTTTGTATTAAAAAGAATCTGCTGCTTGTTGTTGACACTGTGTTCTAAAATAATCTATCAGTCAAAAGTGTAGGAATCATGTTCAGATGTCCTTCCTGTACCTACTAAACATTTTTCCACTGGTCCACTGAGGGGAAGGTGGCAATCCTCCTAGCCTAATTTGTGGATTCTTCTCTTATTTTGCTCTTTCAACTGTGGGGTTTTGCATACCAATTTGAAACCCTTCTTCGGTGAAGTGGACCCTTTAGTGTGAAGGGGCTTCCTTTGTCTTTGCGATGCATTTCCCTTCATAATTAAACAGCTGTGCCAACCTTTTCCCTTAGCATTTGCATGGTGTCTGCCCTCTGTCCATTTACTATCCTTGCTTCACAAACACCCCCTGTAATTATTTGGTGTAAATTGCATCTGCTGGGATTGCATGCAGCCTGACTTTGTAAAAAATGACCGCAGTGTTAGTCCACTAAGTTTATTGAGTCACAGGACATTTGAAGTTCCATCAACTGTTCATCTTTCTCTCTTCTTGCTTGGTTGCTTTCCTGTTTTGTTTTTTTTTTTTCTTTTTTTTTTTATTGTTTTTCCTTTTCCTTTACTCTTAGGCACAGCACGGCTCTCCGAGTTTGCATACATCTGGTGTTTTACCCTAACCTTGGCGACTTGTATTCTCAATTTATCCCTTCTTTATTTCGCTCCGGGATATGTAAGGATTTTAGCACACTTGAACTCCAGTCGCTCAAGTTACCCGCGGATCTTGTTAATTTCTCATTTGTTTTTCTGTGGAAAACGCGGTTTCTGCTTTTGTAGCATCAATGTTTTTCATTGTCTCTTCCTCATTGAATCAGACCTCTCTTCGGTCTCTTCCCCCTCTCCCCTCCCACATCCCTAGTTCCTCGTTTGGAATTCCCCTCAGGGATGGTCAAATTCCTACTGCCAGTCTTCGCAAATGTCTTTATCATACCTTTGTTCTTAGCAGATATTTCCACGGAATATACAGTTCTCGATGATGGTAATTATCTCTCGTGACAGGGACTTGCAGTCCCTTGCCTTCTGGCTTCCTTTGAGCTTGGCTAAAAACTCAGGTGCCAATCTACCATTCTCTCTCTCTCTCTCTCTCTCTCTCTCTCTCTCTCTCTCGCTCTCTCTCTCTCTCTCGCTCTCTCTCTCTCTCTCGCTCTCTCTCTCTCTCTCGCTCTCTCTCTCTCTCTCGCTCTCTCTCTCTCTCTCCCCCCCTCCCTCTCTCTCCCCCTTCCTCCCTCTCTCTCTCTCCGGACGTAGGTGTTTAGAGTTTATTTTAAGAATAGGGAACTACGGGATGTCTCTAAGCACTGGGTGACTTGGTTGGGTCTGGCTGTAGAAAGCTCACTGGGTCACAGGGTTGGGGGAGGGGGACGCCGCGAGGGGAGGTTGTTAAGAATCCGGGCTGTGGGGGTGGTGATGTGAAGGGGCGGCCCCGAGTCACCTCCTGGAGGTCAGAGAGGCAGGAATGAAGAGGAAGCGGGAGGAGTAGGGGCGACTCCCACCTGATCTCCATTGTAGAGAAAGGCTTAGGGCTGGGTCGGGGATTAAGTGTTCGTTCGTTCCACTTTTATTTGCAACAAAAGTGCAGAGAATCAAGGTGGTGGAGGAAGACCACAGGAGTCTAATCTGTGGCGGGGTTTGCTGCCAGCGAAAAAGGGTCTTCACCTGAGATGAATTGCTACTGCCTGGGCCCTCTGGGTAACGCGCTCACGTGTGTGAGCCGTGGCTTTTACCCCACCAGCTAGAACTGGTCAGGGAATGATGAGTGGAAGCGTGGAGGGGTGGGCGCAGAGGCACCAGTTCAGGCCTGCCTAGACTCCGCGCTGCAGGTGGGAAAGCTTTGCTATCCGCCCCTCCTCTCTCCACAATAGTTTATGGGTGTGAGTAGTTGCTGCTTGCCCACGCACGTGCGACGTAGATCAGAGGATACCACCGAATTCCCTGGAACTATGGTTGTGAACCATAATGTGGGTGTTGGGAACCGAACTGGGTCCTCTGAAAGAGCAGCAACTGCTCATAAACACAACGCCGTCTCTCCAACCCTTGATTTAATTTATTTATTTGAGACAGGGTCTTAGGTAGCTCAGGCTGGCCGTGAACTCCTGATCCTCCTGCCTCAGCTGCCCAAGTGTTGAGATTGCAGGCCTGATACTGTCGGTTTCAGGGCCACACCATTTCGGACCTTCCGAGTCATTGGGAAGGCTTGGGAGAAATGATCACGTCCAGCTCAAAAGCCGAGTAGAGAGATGGGGTGCACCGCAGACGGTTGCGTTCAGATCCCAAGCTCCAAATAACTCGGGAGCATCAGACGCGCTGCCAGGCGCCCAACTTGGCCAGCAGGCGGGGTTAGGGAGAAGAGGGGCGTGGTCCTGGTAGGGAGGGGCGGGGCTGACCCTCTGGGCTTTCTCTGAGGCCTGCCCGCGCGCGCGCGCGCGCGCCCGTCCGCTGGCGCTGAGGAAAACGTTGCGCAGGTTCAAAAATGGAACGTCGGCGGCGTGAGGGAGCGCTAGG